CTCCAATATATTTCAAAATAAATTCTGAGGAGAAAAAGTGATATAATTTCATTATTGAAGGTGTATCTGTACCTCCTGCCATTTTACCTTTTTTCCAAAGTTAAAATTATTTACATGGGCTGTGGACGGTGACTCATACCTGTAATCCCAGCACTTTGGGAGGCCGAGGTGAGTGGATTGCTTGAGCCCAGGAGTATGAGACCTGCCTAGGCAACACGGTGAAACCCTGTCTCTACAAAAAATACAAAATTTAGCTGGCGTGATGGCGCACATCTGTAGTCCCAGCTACTTCAGAGGCTGAGGTGGGAAGATTACCTGAGCCTGGAAGGTGGAGGCTGCAGTGAGCCATGACTGCCCCACTGCACTCCAGCCTGGGTGACAGAGTGAAACCCTGTCTAAAGAAAGAAACATTATTTAAATGGATAAACATTTAAAACATTTAGATCAACTATAACCAAGGTTTTGGTTAAATCTGTATTCACAGTCAGTACCTTTTTTTTTTTTTTTTTTGGTGTTGCTCTGTCGCCCAGGCTGGAGTGTAGTGGCAGGATCTCGGCTCACTGCAACCTCAAACTCCTGGGTTCAGTGGATCCTCCTGCCTCAGCCTTCCAAGTAGCTGGGACTACAGGCCCACACCACCATGCCTGGCTAATTTTTTTTCTTAGATACGGTGTGCCCCCAGGCCTGGTCCTTGAACCTATGACTACTATTGCCCAGGCCTGGTCTTGAACTCCTGGGCCTCCAAGCAACCTCCCACCTCAGCCCTTACCCAAGTGGCTGGGATTATCTCCCCTAAAAATTCTGATGCTAATTATTTTTTTTAAAGGCGTGAGTAAGCAAAACATGTCCTGACATGGAATGCTCTGAAAACAATGCTCGCTGAATGGAAAAAAAAAAAAAAGAAAAGAAAAGAAAGGAAGAAAAACAAATTACATGAGCTGACACTTTACTCATAACAAATGTACGTAATGTAACTGGGAGGTTACTGTGGTGTTTGCTAAGGATATACATGGTTTATTGTTAACTCCACGGGCCGGTCTGAACTACATACACAGCCTAGATAGACAGCTGTTACTTTTTGAGGTGTTTATGGGGGTTGGGTTAAAGAGACCTCCAACTCTTACCTGTGTATGTTTCCATTTCTCACAATGAAATGTAGTGGTTACATAATGTTGTGTAATTTAAAAGTTAATTTTTGAAAAGTAGCCATGACGTCCAAGAAAAGAAAGGAAAGAAAGAAAGAAAGAAAAAAGAAAGAAAGAAAGAAAGAAGAGAGAGATAGAGAAGAGAGAGAGAGAGATGAGATGAGAGAGAGTAGAAGAGAAAGACAAGAAAGAAAGTAAATTCCAGCTCATAGTTGGTATTGTCCTGTAGTTCCAGCTACTTTGAGAGCTGAAGCAGGAGGAATACACTTGAACACAGTCTTTAAGGGTACAGTGAGCTATATCCATCACTGGCACTCCAGCCTGGCAACAGAGTGAGACCCTTGTCTCTAAAATTAAAATAAATAAACCTGGCACAGTGGCTCATGTCCTGTAATAACACTCATTTCTGGGAGGCCAAAGGGGCAGATCACTTGAGCCAGGAGTTCGGACCAGCTGGCCAATATAACGCGAAACCCCAGTCCTCTACTAAAATACAAAAATTAGCCGGCATGGGTGGCACTGCACCTTGGGTCCCAGCTACTCAGAAGGCTGAAGCACGGATGATTCCTTGAGCCTGGGAGAGCATGGGGAGGTTGCCGTGAGCTGCACTGCACTCCAAACCTTGGGCGCCCAGACCCTGTCTCAAAAATAAACACCAAATAATTAAAATAACAATAAAATAAGTCCACAAAAAATATTCACACCGGCAGCTGGCCTGGTGCGCGCACGCCCTGCGTAATCCTCAGCATTTTGGAGGCTAGCGGGCTAGATCACTTGACCCAGGGTTCAAGTACCAGCCTGGGTAAGAACCCAACTATACAAATAATATATAATACTAATAACTAAATTAACATAACACCTTTGTACTTTAAGGCTGCCGCGGCCGCCAGCAGGGCCGGCGAACAACACGCCGGGGGTGTTAATCTCTTCTTAAACCACCACTGTCGCTTGTTGATCTTTAGTACGTTATTAAGCTAATATTTTAAAATTGTATCACCCTTCCCGCTCAAAAGTCCCTATGGCTCCCAAATCCACTCCTTAACCTGGCCCCAGCCCAGGTGTGCTCGGCCGAAGGACGCATGGATTCCACATCAACCACCTCCAGTGCCCCTGCTCCTGAGGCATCTTGGAACGGTCCTGAGGCCAGTCCTTTGCTTATGCAGATTCCCATCAGGAATCACTGTTACCTGCCTCTCTCCCTACTCAAATCCTATGCATAGTCAAGGCCCGCTTGAACTTCTTCACCTCTGTGGCCAGAACCCTAATGTCCCTGGCCTTCTTTTGGCTCTTAGCCTCAGGACTCAGCCCTTTCCCCAAGACCACACAGGACATTGACAATCTCCTTTAAACTGTAATTCTTGCTAAGAAGATCATTTACTTTATAAATTTTACTATCTCAACTATCCCTCACACAGTCCCACGTAGATACTACCATTATTCCTGTTTTACTGAGCAGAAGCTCAGATCAAACAGGTTAAGGGCACCGAACACTGCAGGGCACCACAGCTTACTTTATACCAATGGCCCTGTTCAACTTTTCTTTCCCCACAAAGGGAACTCGAAAATTCATATTAGAAGCCAGAGCAACCCCGTGACTGGCATGCAATTCACCCCTGTGTCTTGAACATTTACTGGTTCGCAAATCAAATATGAAAATTAGCCAGCTGAGGTGCGCATCACGGGCCTATAATCCCAGCACCTTTGGGAGGCCAAGGCAGGTGGATCACTGGGAGGGTCAGGAGTTTAAGACCAGCGCTGGCTAACAATCGGCGAAAACCCGTCTCTACTAAAAGTGTAACAAAAAATTAGCCCGGACCATGAATTGGGCCACACCTCGTACAGTCCAGCCTACGTCGAGAAGGGCTGAGACAGAAGAATTGCATTGAACCAGAGGAGAGGCGAAGGTTGTGGTGAGCTGAGATGGTGCCCAGCTGCACTCCAGCCTGGACGACAGAGCAAGTCTGTTTAAAAAAAAAGAATAAATAAATATGAATTAAATGGATAATGCCCATTAGTGCCTTGAAAGTGTAAGTACCTTCTTTTCATTTATTTATTTTATTTATTGTATTTATTTGTTTGTTTGTTATTTATTTTTGAGACACAGTCTTGCTCTGTCACTCAGGGCTGGAGTGGAGTGGCACGATCCTCGGCTCACTGCAACCTCCACCTCCTGGGTTCAAGCAATTCTCCTGCCTCAGCCTCTGAGTAGCTAGGATACAAAAGCGCTTGCCACCACACCGGCTGGTTTTTGTTATTTATTGTAGAGACAGGGTTTTACCATGTTGGCCAGGCTGGTCGTCGAACTCATGACCTCAGGTGATCCACCCCTTCCTTGGGCTCCCAAAGTGCTGGGTTACAAGGTGTGAGCTACCACGGCGTGGGCC